AAAAAAAAAAAAAAGAGTTCCTTTTACAAAACTGTTTCCATAAATTTCAAAGCCCAGAGTTTTTAGGAAAAATGTTGATACGCTGAAAGAAATAAAATTAAAGTTTGCATAATGCTGTCGGTGGTTTTGTGTTCTGGCGTTCTCCAAACCCACGTGGATCTGTCAGACAACCAGTCCAGACATTCAGCTGATCTGGGGTCTGTGGAAGACATTTTAAATGAAATATCTGACACGATACTTTACCCTGCTTCAATTCTAGATCATTTAAAACCACCTTAAGACAAAAGTTCAAAATTCACATTTTTCACATGGATGAATTGGACAGCGTCTGTCCTGTGTGATTTTTTTTTTGACAGGAGCTGTCCCTGCGTCTCGTCGTGTCTCTGGGAGTGTGTTTTCTCACGGGTTTCCTGCCGTACGTCTACCTGCCGGTGTCGTCCTCCCTCAACGCAGCCCGCTGGAGCTGGGGAGATCAGACCACGCTGTGGGGCCTGCTGACCCACCTGCTGAGGGCTGAATATGGAACCTTCAGTCTGGTACTCACCCCGTGTTCACCTGTTCACCTGTTCACTTTAACCTCCAACGTCTGGGTTTTGATGTTTTATTCTCAGGCCAAAACAGGAAACGCTGTGAAAATGACTGAAATGCTGCAGTAAGTTGTTTTTTTTTTCTTTACTATTTTAATTTTTTAATACTATTATTTAACACTTGAACTGAACCTTTAGACACTTTTATCCACATTTATGACTTTGTGTTTTAATTTATTTCCAGAATTAATCAATAGATTTACAGCTTTTGCTTTTATTTTAGCTTATTTTTACCACAGGATCCAGGAGTCAGTTTTCTTTCTTATTCAGTTCATGAAACTTCTGAGAGTAAGAAACATCACTGAGGTCGTGAACGAGTTTGGTCAGAACACAGAGGATGTGAAGTATCTGTTTGTAGAGGACGGAGTCAGTCCTGCAGCTCTCTCTCTCCCCCTCTCTGTCTCTCGACCGTCTCCTCTGTCTGTCCTCGGCAGCTTTTGTTCCTCCGTGTTCCGGTCTCTTCCATCAAAGCAGAGCTGAACCTTTGGAGCCAAATCACTGCGTTCTGTTTCTCCAGCAGTTTGAAATGATCACTCAGCTTTGGTCTTTAAGCGTGACAAGCTGTGATGACAGACACTGCAACAAAATGGGAAAAATTGTATTTTTCCACTTCAGACCTCCCTCCCTCTCTCCCTCCCTCCCTCCCTCCTCTCTCCCTCCCTCCCTCCTCTCTATTTCTCTCTCTCTCTCTCTCTCCCTCTCTCTCTCTCAGGTTCTCCTCTAGATTTTTTCCAGACGCCTCCCACCACTCCCTCAGAGGCAGACCTGGCCAACATGGCCTTTAATAAAGCACAGACGCCATCACTGACCGGCGGCACCACCCCCTCCGCTGCTCCTCCAATCCCAGACTGCACACAGAAAGTGTCTGCTCCGACAGAATGGGCCCTGATCAGCGTAGAGAGCAATGTGAGCGACGCGGCGGAGGCGGGGGCGGACGA